CATGGTTATTGACTTTATTTAGTAGGAAGACTACACATATCAGGCTGAACTGCCTACAAGATTGGATGGTTCCTTCCCCACATAACTTTTTTAATGTAAGAAATGGGGAGGAATATGGAGGAGAACAGGATCATCAAGTTTGGGGCGATACGCACTACCGCATATTGTCATTTTATTTTACCCGTCGTCGAGGTGATTATCCGGGTATGGGCGCTAGTTTTGGGGAATCACACATAAGAAACAGGCGCCAACTAAGGACCATGCGCAGCATCCAGACTTGTACGGGACATATGAAGCGACCTATCATTTCGCACGTTGCATCTCTTAATCGAACATCGTCCATACCCTTTTGGAAGAAGTAATAAAGCATACACGCCGGTCATTTTGTGCTTATAATAATGATATGGTTTGGGCAGGACGCCACTTATTATTATTATTATCATCATCATCAAAGAAACGCGCAGATGAGCGAAAAGGACAAAATTCTTACGCAGTTTGAGTAACCGAAAATGTATAAAATGCAAGCGATCTGAGAGATTTTAAAGTGAAAAAATGCTGCCACACATGGGATGAAAATATGTGTGAGGAGGGCTGGACCTCCCTGCACCCTAAGGATTCGAAACGCTTCTCGGTAGAGAGAAATATGAAACTAGAGGGGGTTAACTGCAAACTCAAAGAGTCGCGGAAGAAACCTCGGACAAAGTTGCGAGGCAGAAGAACCCATTGCGATCGTCAGAGTTGGCTTGGGGCTGAGATGAGGAAGGAGCGTTAGCGATCCCAAAGGCCATCGCTGCGGAGGGAGACGACGTCAGTGACTTTGCTAACTAGTTAACATCATGGGTGCCATTGGCACTTGATAACAACTGACTTCGTACTTTTTTCACACATACTTACTACTTTACCTGATTGCTGTGTCATACCCTATAGTTATAACTAATGTTTCGATGCCTGCCAATGGTACTTACGCATAGAATAAATCATGTGTCTGTAAGATTTTGACGTTTTATGCGCGTGTTTTATTTAACAAACAGAGAGTTCAAAGTTACACACCAATAGTTGTCTCAAATAACCTGAACTGCCCTGGATTGGCTGAACTGAAATCAGCTAACAATACTTGCTAGGTTTTGGTACAGAAATCCCATTATATGGGCTGATAAGGTTGCGCTGGAGGCAACTACTGCGGTAAAGTAATGAGTAATCGCCGACGCAACACGGGATTGTAAATAGGACCATTGGATTTAGTGCTGCATTTACCTAAAGAACGGGGTTCAGCCGGGTAGTTCTACCGGACCAATCACTATTGCACAGCGTTAGGCACCGTGGCGTCCTCAAGCATACTAAAATTTGCCCAATAATAAGCGAAATTGTATAGAAAGAAATTTACCATTGGCTTAGATTTGTTGGTAAAAGTGGGAGGTGCTTGCAGTTCTGCACCTGCTGTAGCTCTTTTTGTGACCAGTCATAGTTATGCGTTTTCTTCCAACGTTAATTTTGGCGCTGTTGTGTCCACAGTTAATCGTGAGGTATGTTTGTCATGTATCATCATACTTAGCGAGTCTCTATATGAACGCCTTGGGTTATCTCGCACCGCATCAAGGGCTGAAATTAAGAAAAAGTACCACGAAATCGCCAAAGAAATTCATCCAGATCAGAGTGCAGATCCAAAAGCTCATGATGAATTTCGCAAAGTGGCGGAAGCCTATGAGGTACTCACCGTTTGTTGTTTTTGAGCCGTCCTGTGCTCATTTGAAAACAATCATAGCAGAGTACTTCTTCCAAATGTGTTTTCTTTCGTTTCTTGAGCCAATATTTTTGCCATAAGTGTTTGTTATTTGTCTGATCCTCTTTCTCCAGTTGTCCTTCAGTCAACAAGAGATCCTCCCAACCACACAGAACTAATTAGAGTTGGTGTAAGTGCTCGCGTCTATTCACGAAGCTACATGTTATTGATGAGTTATCGATCCCCCCTATCGGGCTTTTAAACGGACACTATGATATGTGCAGCTCGTTAGTCTACTTGTTTTGTCAATCTTCACTAGAACTTCTAACTAGTTTTGACTCATGCTTCCCAACTGAATGCCTAGTCCTCAGCAATTGTGGGTAAGCGGACATTCCACGCGTAGGCGTCGAAATAACGGGCCTAATATCCTCATTTTACTTTACTTGGCTAAATCTACCGCGAATGGAGACCACGTTACGCACCCTTCGATCGATATAGCCTAGGTGGTAGCC